CACACTTATCGGCGGCCACTGGACCCCCATTCACTGCTGGTGGGTGGGTGGCTGGCGAGCAGGGATCCAGCCAGAAGTAGGACCTGCCAGTATTGAGGGGGGGAACAAGGGGGAGAGAGACAGAAAATATGGGACAATTTGCCCATTTTTAAGAAAAAGTTGGGACATCTACAGGAGGACTTAAATACGGGACCCTTTAAAAACAGGACATCTGGTCATCCTATGCCTGAGTGAATGGGAGAGGCTTGGGATCAGCCAGGGTCTGCATGGGGGAGGCTCCCCAACAATCCTGGCCCTCCCCCCAAAAAAACCTGTTCCATACTTCTTCCACCCACACTCAACAACCCTCCAGGCTCCTTCCCTCTCCCTTAGCTCCTCCATTACTCCTTACACTCACAAGCCCTTGCACTACTTCTGACGGGTATAGGAAATACAGTTCTGCATTGTAAATTAAATTAATTACTCAAAGCTCTGTATTAATATGCCCAGTAAGGAATCTATTTGTTAAAAAAATTACCAAAATCTTTTTTTTGGTCTATTTTGTTACAGACATACTTGCTGACAGATATTTTGAAATAAATTACCAAAATAATGTAAACTGGCATGATTATATTGTGTTATTTTGACAAATAAAATATGCAGAATTTTGCAAATTTTAAAATATTGTGCGCAGAATTATTTTTTAAACACAGAATTTTTAATTTTTTGGTGCAGAATTCCCCCAGGAATAATTGACTTCTACTCAGTTCAGGGAATATGCTTTATACAGTCACTTCAGAAAGAAAGAAGGAAATGAGGACTCTTCTGTTAGGATACCTGAAAAATCACTTTTAATCCCAAAATTTGAGGAGGTAGATGTAGAAAACAAGAGGCAAAATGACCCCACACATATCCATCACTGTTTATGGCAATGTCAGTGTCTAATTTTGGGTGTTAAAAGGACACACAAATTGGAAAACTTATTTCTACCTGAGTTTATTATATTTATTACAATCGTACATAACATCTGAGGCCTGGTCTGAAAATAACTCAAAAGTTATATTGGCATAGCTACAACAGTCAGGGGTGTGCAAAAAAACACAACACACTCACAAGAAAGAAAAACGCAGTATGACATATTCCCAACCTGATCTCACCCATTTCAATAATAATTTTAATTAAAATAAAAAATAAATTAAAAAAAACAAACCACACACACTTTGGTGAAAATTGTTGCTATCTAAAAGTATGGAGCAGTGGTGGGCAGTGCGCAGCCCACAGGTTGCCCACCACTGGTATGGAATATTTCCTGCTTCCCAATACTTCCCAGCAAGTAGATGTCTAGAGCAGGGCAGACAAAAGTCTAAACCAGGGTGGCCAACCTGTGATTCTTCAGAAGTTAATATGCGGCTCCTTGTATAGGCACCGATTCCGGGGCTGGATCTACAGGCGCCAACTTTCCAATGTGCCGGGGGGTGCTCACTGCTCAACCCCTGGCTCTGCCACAAGCCCTGCCCCCACTCAACCCCTTCCCGCCCCCTCCCCTGAGCCTGCCATGCCCTCGTTCCTCCCCACCCCCACAGCCTCCTGCACATCATAAAACAGCTGATCGCAAGGTGTGGGGAGGGAGCCAGAGGCGCTGATCGGCGCGGCTGCCAGCTGGTGAGAGGCACTGGGAGCAGGGTTGGGGAGCTGATGTGGGGCTGCTGACGTATTACTGTGGCTCTTTGGCAATGTACTTTGGTAAATTCTGGCTCCTTCTCAGGCTCAGGTTGGCCACTCGTGGTCTAAGCCATCGATATTTGTAGCAGTTAAACTGTTTTTTTGAAAATCCCATGACTTTTTTTTCATAAGTGTTCAACACCGACATAGCACTGTTTCCATTGAAATCAGTGGGAGTTTTACCATTGACATCACTGGGAGCAGACTGAGGCCAACACTGAGCTCTTTTGAAAATCCCACTGTAAATTTCCCATCCTTTATAGCTGTTAAAGAAACCATTATTACTTGAACTAGGAGAATACTGTCTTCTGGTTGGCAAACACACCATCCCATTGTCTAGACAGGTGCTCACTATCTTGTCGCTGCTTGTTACTACTGTTACTCAGAACCCTGGGGGCAGCTGAGAAACTGACAAGAATCATGTTAAATTAATTTATTTGGGGAAAAGCTGTGAGCAGGTAGAATAGCAGGATGATGCAAGGAAAAACAAAAAAAGGATGGATGGGTAGTAGAACAGTGGACAACTCCCTCCTGCCTGCAGAATCAAGGAAGCAAGAGGGGGCAGGATAGGAGAAATTGCACCTTCTCTCTCAGCTGCTGGGGGATTCACATTTAACAGACACCTCCTACTCATACTTAAAGCGGAACTTCAAAACAAATTCCACAGCCAGCAGCTTGGTAGGAATCCCAGTGACTTTCCCCATTCCCTGTGGAATTTTACCAAGGCACTGCCCCATGGTATTGTCATTGGTGGGTTCTTATCCCCGTTTATCACACCTATTAGCCAGAGACCAATTTTACTCCCAACTAGCCAGTGTCTGATTTCTTCTCTCCCCCCTCCCCCTTTCATAAAATGCATTTCTTTTATCATATGACACTTGGAGAATGACAAAGACAAAATCCATGATTAGTACGGATGAAAGAACAGAAGATAAACTAGAACTACAAGGAAGGTTATCCACCATTCTAAGACAGACTCAAGAATTCCACTCTGGGCAGTACAGCCCAACAATCTGTCGATGACGCAGCAAACAGAAGCAAACTTTGCTTTTTAGAAAGATGGTGGTACTTTTTGCAATTAACCACCCCATACCGTTGTTTATTTCAAAAACATCAGAGTAACACATTCATTCCAGTCAGGCGAATTAAAGCTCATATAATCTCAACGTTTGGCATGTTAGACAAATGACCTGCCTCTGACCCTTATCACAGGCTGCTTACCTCCCAGCGACTCAGACAAAGAGTGCTCTCTTCAGAACACCACCTCAAACATGCCACATAGTTAACATCTACTGCTGTCCAAAATATCATAAAGTTGATAAATTTCACTGAAATTACAACAAGGCAACATAGATTTAATAAAACAGAGCTGTACATGTCAGATCTCTCACTCTCAAACAATGGGTAAAAAAAACAGTTGATCTAAACAAAAACCCAACAAACCTATCTACATTTCATTACCATCCATCAAATACACTTACAAAAAAGGGAAGTTAGCTAAAAATACTTCTATTCTGTTGAAGTCACAGGAAAGTATAAGCATGTACACAGCTGAGGAACACACAATTCTTCTATAACCTGTTATAATTGGCAAGTGGGAATAGTCATGTCTCAGGGATTCTTACTGTGACAATTTTAAAGCAAAACCATGCACATCTAAGTTTCCATGGAAGTGCAAAGTAGCATTTTTAAACAACATGGCCTCTGTCCATGTACAGAAACAAATTATAAAAAGAAAAAAAAATTTTAAGGTGAAGATTTTTAAATAGTGACTAGTAATTCTGAATGCCTCAATTGTTAATTGGTGTCCAACTTGAAATACCTTAAAAGGAGCATGATTTTCAGAGTGGTGGTATTCAAGCTTTTTGAAAATTAGGCACCCAGAAACCTAAAGCACTCAAAATCTCACTAGTCATTTTTGAAAATCCAAGTTTATGAACACATCAGCATTCACACTGAAATTCCTGACATGCACCACAAGTCTGTGCACTGGGCTGTATAATGCGATTTGTAGTAGTAATATTTTGCATTCCCTCAAAGTATATTTAATTCGGATTCAGTGGCACTGTTTTTTTAAAAATCATTAACAATTCCATATTCTGATTTTTTTTAATTACATGAACAACCAAAGCCAAAAGTCTTAGAGAGAGAAAAATGAATGAGAAAAAGACAAGTTTGCTCCAACAGTGTTGCTGAGTTTTAGAAGCATATTTTTTTCCCTTCCTTGCTTCCAAAGAACAGATTTGGTAAAATACTTCCCTACTTTTATAGTAACATATTAATTTAGAATATTTAAACCATAATAAAAGACAAGTGAGAAATCTCTGCTTTCTTTTACTTGGTTACACAAGAGACTTTTAAAATGGCACAATATGCATATTTTAGATTCTAAGGAGCCTTTTTGTGAAAATGCTGAAGGCATCATTCAGTATTGAACATCTAGGTATGGAAAAGCACAGAAGACAAAAATACTTACAGGAAAATATTTACCTATACAAATCTAATATACATTAGATTCCTAAATTTTCAAAGAGTTGTTTAGGATCTAGACACAAAACCCAATGCAACTCTGAAAATGTAAGGGGTAGGAGTAACTGTCCTATTATACCAACATAGGTTTCTACAGTAAGCCTATTGCATGCAGCCAGTGGAGTCACACGAAGGATGAATTAGTTCCAATGGCTTTATTTTTCCAAATTACTGTAGATGAAATAATTTGCAGCATAGAATCTATTCTAAAAGAATGCTGTTCTTAAAACTACAGTATGTTTGCCAGTCCTCGTTTGGAAATTACACTGAGTAAGCACTTCTACCCAACACCAGCTAATCTTCACTGGTTCTATCTGCCATTAGATTGAAGCTGATGTTTCATTCCGCTTCTAAGATTTCCTCTGTTACTGTGAATTACTGAATGTTCAAAAGGCTCAAAATGTCCTATATTATCTCCAATTGGCAATTATTTGAGTCCTATAGCAGATGCTTATTTAAGAATACTAAGCCTTCTGTACTTACTGTACACATCTGAGCAGTATACTTCTTCCACAGCAGTTCTTAGAAGACTGAGCCTTTTGATTAGTTCTGAGCCAGTATCACTCTCAGAAAAAATACATACTCACAGGAAAGTGTGTTTGTGTTTTTGGGGTGAGGGAGGGACCTGTTTTTTTAAGCAAGGCACTGAACAGGCTTTCTATGAGTTACATAAAAAATCCTTCCCCACTCCTACTCCTCCTTTAGGAGAAGAAAGTCTAATGCAGCTAAGCCTTCTCATATGATCAATAAAACAGATCAAAAACACTTACTGTTTATGTGATCGATATAGTAGACACCAATCTGAGGATCATATGCAGCTTCCCATCCCCATGGTAGTTCATCACCAACACAATCCGCGAATGACAAAGGCTTTGTTAACCTAAAAACAAATTAGAGTAATGCAATTAAAGCAATGGTTTTTTTCTTGAAAAATTCTGGACCTTATCCTATTGTTCATAATTAGAAGTTAAGGATTGATATAGGGGGCTAGCAGGAGGAAAGGAGAAGAAAAGTTGCCAAACGACATGGAAAAATAACCTCAAATGCTTGAATGACTTTTCAAGGATATCCTTCTGACTATATTAACTCAAAGTTAGATAAATTATCCCCAAAATTTGCCTAGCCTAGGCACTCTTGATTGAGAAATCTACTATAATGCTATCCTCAAACTCTCCAGTAATTAAACAACAGCAGCAGACAACAGCTTGAAAAAAAATCTACTCTCCTACTTGACTCTTGTAAGTGGGAGGACCTACGCTTTCAACCTTGATTTCCAAAGTACCAGTCCTCTGCTTTAATCATAAAATCATCCTTCCTCCCCAATGTCCACACAGAAAATTCAGAGAACAGAAAATAACTTCACATGGCGTACCGTACAGGTAATCCTATTCTGATGGACATGTGTCCTTGGAAGCATGAGTGGCAACATGAAGTAACACTACTAAATCTTAGAAGAAATGTCTAAATCATAAGAGTGAGTGTGTGTGTGCATGCAGCACGGAAAATTAAATTTCTCGGAAGCTCATAATTCATGCTGCAGTGATGGGGGCCATAAGTACACCAAGATAAGACTTCTTACTGAAGAATACTGAAGTCAGTATATTGTGTATGTATCAGCAATTAGAGCAGGGGTCAGCAACCTTTCAGAAGCGGTGTGCCAAGTCTTCATTTATCCACTCTAATTTGAGGTTTCACGTGCCGGTAATACATTTTAACATTTTTTAGAAGGTCTCTCTGTGTCTATATTATATAACTAAACTATTGTCGTATGTAAAGTAAACAAGGTTTTCAAAATGTTTAAGCAGCTTCATTTAAAATTAAATTAAAATGCTGATCTTACGCCGCCAGCCTGCTCAGTCCGCTGCCGGCCTGGAGTTCTGTTCACCTAGGCCGGCAGTGGGCGCTGAGTGGTACCAGCAGCCAGGACCCTGGCTGGCAAGTGGCCAGAACCCCAGACCGGCACTGGGCTGAGGGGCTTAGCCCGCTGCTGCTCATCCCGCTGCCAGTCTGGGGTCCCGGCCCTGCCCACATAGAACGGGTACCTACAGTCTCCCTGCTTTTAGCCCATTTTCTTCCTCTCTCTCTGCACTGAGATGAGGGTGGGAGTGCATTGAGCACAGGGTTGGGGGTGAAGAAGCAGGCTGGAGGTTGGGGTGTAGGGTCTGGTCAGGAGCTAGAATGAAGGAGGGGGCTCAGGGTTGGGGCAGAAGGTTTCGGTGTGGAGTGCTTACCTGGGCAGCTCCCATTTGGTGTGAGGGGTGCAGGAGCTCCCATTTGGTGCAAGGGGTGGGGATGTGGGAGGGGGGTGCAGGAGTCAGGACATGGGGTGTGGGGTGGCTGGGTATGTGTGGGGGTGCTGGAGTCAGGGCTGGGATCGTGGGGGGGTGCAGGGGTCAGATCAGAGGGCTGGGGGCGTGTGAGGGGGGGTAGAGTGGGGAGCAGGGTGGGAGTTGGGACTCCTGGGCTCCGGGAAGGGGCTGGTGTCTGACGCGCGGGGTAGGAGTGCTGGGAGCGAGGACTCTGGAGTCCTAGGTTTCCAGCTGGGCTCTAGTTGTTTGAGGGGGTGGGGGGCAGACTCCTGGGTTCTGCCCTCAATGCCGGAGGGGAGTGGGGTCCAGTGACCTGGGGTGGCGAAAGAGGTGTACCCAGCTGTTCCCAGAGTCCAGCAGGAAGTGACAGAGGTCAGCAAAGCATGTGCAAATGCCGGCAGGAGGGGCGGAGAAGAGCGGGCCGGGCCGGGCAAGGCAAGATTTTTAATGGCACGCTGCTGCCTGCCAAGGTCCCGGCCGCCGGACCCGCTCAGCTGGCAGCGGGCTGAGCAGGACCGGCGTCTGGGACCCCGGCAGGCAGCAACGTGCCATTAAAAATTGGCACACCGACCCCTGAGTTAGAGTAAGATGACTTTACCAGCCTATCAAAAAAAATAACAATAAGGGGGGGCAGCATGTACTCACAAATGAGATTTTAGTGAAACAATTCACAATTCACATATCCTTTCCCCATCTCAGAGAGGAAATAGGACTTATCTACAGTCATAGGGGTCTGATCCAGTAGCCATTGACTTCAGTGCAAGTCTGATCAAGCCCAAATAGAGTCTACACCAGTATTGTTGTTTTTTAAAATTCTTTATTAGTGACAGGTGCAGCTGCACTGGTGCTAGCAGCTGCTTAAATGCTAGCATAGGCAGGGCACAAACATATTTTACCATCAGAAATCCTAGGGTTTCACGTCACAGTGGTAAGAACAAACGTGTGTCCTGAATGCATTAGCCCTTTCATTGGTTAGAGCATCAGTGAAGCTGCATCCACTGCTAACAGATAAAAATTATTAGCGTAGACATGACCAGAATGTGAAAAACGTTCTTCTCAAGATGCAGCAGCCTTGAGCCTCCTAATTAGACCCACAGGCCACGGCCTGAGGAACTCTGTAGGATGCCATCACACCATCAAAGTCCCGGTAGGATTACATTTTGAAAGTCTACATCTTCACGTCTCACTCTTCCTCACTCATCACCAACTTCCTTTCCTCTCTGTGCATTGCTTAAATCTTTGCTTCCCTCATTCTTTTCTCCTTTTCAAGCTCCATTCCACATAAAAAAATTAAAGTGTTCAGTGGTTATCCCTAATAATATTTGTAGCATGTTCATTTTTTATTTGATGACTAAACAATGACAATCACTTCTAACCAAACTGCAACTCTGAACGTTTCCCTGTGGAGATTCCCACATGGTGTGTGTGAGTGAGAGAGAGACCCGCACTGTGAATTCTCTTTGGATGGATTTTAATATATATATATACATATATATACATATATATACATATATATATAAATATATGTGTGTGTGTGTATTGTTTTGGGAGGAGGGAATAACCCTTTTTTTAGAATGGTTAACAACAGGTTTTACAGGAACCACTGTTTCTAACAAGGCCCAATGAAACAGACTATAACCATAATAGTTTACATCTGTGTCACATCAGAAAGAGACAATGTCTTCCATAGCTAAGGTTGAGTAAGCCTTCCAATGTTATACTTTTATTTCATTTGGAACACAGTGAGTACTGGTTTTCCAACTGAAAGATCAGAAGTTTTACAGAATACGGATATATTTTAAGAAAAGGAAGGATTTGGGGATTTACTGTCTACGTATCAATAAGACTGGAGGTTGCATCATAAGGTGACCTTGATGAGAGAAGATAATAGGATACAATAGTAGAACTCCCTCAACTGTGTCGACCATGCTCATTTCAACTCACTTTATTATGAAGCCTTAGTGAAGAACCCACTGTAACTTTTACTATCATTTCACCTTTATAAACTAGATTTGACACACACCCTTATCACAAAAAGCCCATACCGTCCCCAGTGTTCCATTCTCCCCACTACTCCCCCTTTTATTAATCATTATGATTTCTTACAATTCAGGCCAGAGTAAGTTTGTTTTGGTTTTTGGGGCGGAGGATGAAATTATAAGGCTATAACAAATTTGGAATGTTTTACGTTTGGTAAAGCTTTTTGTTGTTCTTTTGTAACTCAAACCCAGATTCATTTTAGTAATCCAAACTTTTCATGCAGTTAGATTCTCCTAGGAACTAGAGCACAGGTTTTGTTTCAAAACAACTGGTCCACAAACAAAACCATTATAAGAATTGTAGGGCTTGAATCTTAAACTCCTGCAGTCCTGGTTCAACTCTCCCATAAGAATGGCCATACTGGGTCAGACCAATAGTCCATCTAGCCCAGTATCCTGTGTTCCGACAGTGGCCAATGCCAAGGGCTTCAGACGGAATGAACTGTTAGAACAGGCAATCATCAAGTGATCCATTCCCTTTCATCCACTCCCAGCTTCTGGCGAACAGAAGCTAGGGACACTCTGAGCATGGAGTTGCATCCCTGCCCATCCTAGCTAATAGCCATGGATGGATCTATCCTCCATGAACTTATCTAATTCTTTTTTGAACCCTCTCATAGTTTTGGCCTTCACAACATCCCCTGGCAAAGAGTTTCACAGGTTGACTGTGCATTGCGTGAAGAAGTACTTCCTTTTGTTTGTTTTAAACCTGCTGCCTATTAATTTCATTGGGTGACCCCTAGTTCTTGTGTTATATGAAGGAGTAAATAGCACTTCCTTATTTACTGTCTCCACACCAGTCAAGATTTTATGGACTTCTATCATATCCCCCCCCTTAGTCATCTCTTTTCCAAGCTGAAAAGTCACAGTCTTTTTAATCTCTCCTCATATGGAAGCTGTTCCATACCCCTGATCATTGTAGTTGCCCTTCTTTGTACCTTTTCCAATTCCTCTATATCTTTTTTGAGATGGGGCAACCAGATCTGCACACAGTATTCAAGATGTGGGCATACCATGGATTTATATATAGGCAATATAATATTTTCTGTCTTGTTATCTATCCCTTTCTTAATGGTTCTAACATTCAGTTAGCTTTTTTTTGACTGCCACTGTACACTGAGTGGATGTTTTCTGAGAACTATCCACAATGACTCCAAGATCTCTCTCTTGAGTGGTAACAGCTAATTTAGACCCCATCATTTGGTATATATAGTTGGTGCAGTTATCAACACAATTTCACCTGCCATTTTGTTGCCCAGTCACTCAGTTTTGTGAGATTCTTTTGTAACTCTTCGCAGTCTGCTTCAGACTTAACTATCTTGAGTAGTTTTGCATCATATGCAAATTTTGCCACCTCCCTATTTACCCCTTTTCCTGGACCATTTATGAATATGTTGAACAGTATTGGTCCCAGTACAGACCCTGGGGGACATCACTATTTACATCTCTCCATTCTGAAAACTGACCATTTATTCCTACCCTTTATTTCCTATCTCTTAACCAGTTACTGATCCGTGATAGGACCTTCCCTT